GGGCTGACCCGCCCTCCGTCCTCCGCAGGCTCGCTGGGGCCTGGCGCCATCGCGGCCATCGTCATCGCCGCCCTGCTGGCCACCTGCGTGGTGCTGGCGCTCGTGGTCGTCGCGCTGAGAAAGTTTTCCGCCTCCTGAAGCGAATAAAGGGGCCGCGCCCCCACCGCGGCGCGACTCGGCTGCACCCCCGGTGGCGCCCCCGTGTCTCGAGTGTGTCCGCGCGTGCGTGTGTGGGCGAGCGGGGCGGGCGACAACTCGCAACACGTGCGCGCGGGGGCGCCAGCGGGAGCCGCGAGTGCGCGCGGGGTCCCCGCACGGCAGCCCACGCCCCTGTCCCCGAAGTGCCCAGGGCCCAACCCCTGCGCTCGGGCGCAGACTGACGAGCGCAGGAGAGGCGGGCCGAGCCGTGGGGGCTCCCAACGAGAGCCTGCGTTATTTACGGGGAGGGGGGTTAGGGGGGCGGCGGCGTCTTTGACTTGGTCAGCCAGGCCCCATCTGCCGGCTCGGAGCGCCAGACCCGTCCCTCCAGCGCCCCCGTGAACCCCTCCACCCCAGGGAGCCCCAGGAGCAATGGGACCACAGGCCCAGGCAGCCTCCCTTCAACCCCGCGTTTGGCCCTGGCTCTCCTTTCTAGGTCATGTCCTTTATTTTGCACACTCCCCGGGAAGCCTAGCTTTTATGATTGATAGATTTAAAATAGTGGCTGAGCTGCTCAAGGCATGGCAGGGAAGAAGCCTGAACTGCATCCCTTTGGAGTGGAAAAGAAGACTGGAGACCTGGAGGAGGGACTGTCTGCACACCCCGTGATGGTTTGATACCCTGGGCCTGGGTGTGGGTGCTGGTGGAGGGAAGCTGTTCCTCTTCTTTCACTGTTTCTAGCAACTTTTGGCCTCCTTAGCTTCCCTGAGCTCCTGACCACTCATGCTCCAGCTAAGACCAGTTCTCTCCTCCTGCATACTCCAGATGAGCCCAAAACACATGAGGGTTAGAAGTCTCCACTTAGGAAGGGCTGTTCTAAAACTGACCAGTTCTCATGAAGCTGTTTAAATTACTTCATTCCACATAATCTCTGCTAACCAAAGCCCTAGTTAGAGCAGATGATCCAAATCAGCATGCTGTTTACCAGCTTCAAAAAGATAAACTGGACAAGGGCCAGGACCAATGGTCACCCCCTCCCCTTTGCCCCAGAGTCGTTCCCCCCCCGCCCCCCAAGAACAGCATAGGGCTCAGGAATGGCCCCTCTCCCCCTGCCCCCACTGCTGGGGGACTTAAGTATGGGTACTCCTCCTGGGGGTGTAGCACAGAGGCCCCATGAGCATCAGCCCCTCACTGTCGAGCCAGAGTGTTGCGCATGTATGCATCTTCCAGAAATCCAACCAATTCTCACAGGGTCTCAGGTCTCAAGAATGCCAGGAGCCATGTGGCCTGTGGGAAGATGCTACAAAGTCCCACTTGATCCAAATCCTGGGCTTCTAACGAAAGGCCTGTTCTGGCATGGAGAAAAGAGTGTCCTGGCAGAGTGTGGTCTCAAGCATGCAAGGCTGGGCAGGGTCAGATTCCAGACCCTCCACACTCCAGGACAGAATCAAGGGTGGGGGGTGGGGTATCTGTGAGGGTTACCTGGGCTGGGCGAGGAGCTGCAGTCTTCGGGTAACTTGCTAGCGCCAGAAGTGGGACGAAGTGTCCAAGGTAGGAAGGTGGGAAGGCAGCCCCGGCCCCATGCCTGGTGTTAGATCTCCTGTGGGATCACCACCCACTGACAACCTCTGTTGCACTGTGGTCTCCCAAACCTGTGTTCTCACTTCCACTGCAGCAGAAGGGTGTCCCCAGCTCCCTCAAAGAGCATCTTCTGTTTCTGGAATCCTTCCACAAGTTGAGGTCCAAATCTTCCACCCTGAGGTCCTAACTCTGGCTTTTTCCTGTCTTGGAAGCCACCTTAACCTCCTCCTTCAGGACATGCTACTCCCCTGGCCTTGAAAGGAGTTCCTCTTTCCCTGCCCGGAACCAAACACCTCATTCCTGTGTGTAGCAGAGCAATAAAGAAAGAACAGAGCTTCACCTCCGTTATTTTATACATGATGCTTCTTTTAATGCAGCCAAAAATGATATTTGCTTTTCTTGGAACCAAAACCGATACAGGATGCAGTGGCCAATTCATTCCTCACAACACCTGGGCTCCTGAAGGGGCCAGAAGACACAAGTTACATCCAGCTTGTCAGGGAGCCAGAGGTGGCATGGGCCCTCGGCCAAACTCTGGTAGGCCTGCCATGAAGCAGGGCCTGGCCGTGCAGCCAGAGGCTGGCAGAGGCTTGGGGAGGGGGGAGAACAGAGGCATTTGGTCTCTTGGTCCTTTGAATCGGAGACCAAGGGCTGCTCAACAAGCTCAGGCAAGGGCGGTCCATCTGCACGCCTGGTGGATTCTAATGGCTTCCAGGGTAGAGAAGGACATGTGCAGGGGGTCATGAGAATCCTTCCAGCCTGCCCTTGGCCAGGGACACCCCGGGGTCTGGGGCCTCTTCCAGTGCCTGGGAAGGCCCCTGGAGCATGCCAGTCCACTTCCACCCCCTCTAAGAGACAAGAGGGACAGGTGGGAGAATACTGTTTAAAATACCCTTTCTCGTTTATAAATGCAGCAGAGGAAAGACGTAGGCACCCTTTCTCCAGTTTGCAAGCGAGGGGGCCAAGACACATGAGCACTCAGCACGCGGCAGGGAGAGCGGTGGGGGTGGCTCCTGCACAAGGTGCCTGCCTCCCCCCAGAGCCCCTCCACCGTTCGTCGGGGTTTGCCTGCCCGGAGCTGCTCTGGCCTGCCCACCCGCGTCTTCCCGCCAGGCTGGTGACCCAGGCCGGGGGTCACTGCCGATTTCGGCTGCCCAGCTTCCTGCGATCCTTGTTCTGGCTGCGCTGAGGGTCGTCCATCTTGTGGACTCGGAAACATTCCTTGAGGTTCTGGGACCGGATCTTGGGATTCAAGATCTCCTCAGTCATGGAGCTGGGGAACCAGCCTCTCTCCTGGTCGTGCAGACGCTCGCCAAAGATCCACCCTGTGTAGGGGCGGGTCGGGGAGGGTCAGGCCGTGGGCTGAGGGCTGAGCCTCCGTCCTGGCCAGGGCTCCCATCTGTGCAGGGAGTAGAGGCGAGGGAGATGCAGGAGCCCTGCTGGCCTTTCCAGAGGGCACCTGCTTGAACAACTGCTACTGGACACACTTGGATTTTTTTCTCCCCAGGAGCCGGGAAAGCACTGCCCCGACCTCCTCCTGGGGAACATGGTCCTGGGGCGCCAGGGTGTGTCCCAAACGTATTGGCTTTGGAACCCATTCCTGAGCCCTTGGCCACTCTCTGCCTCTCAGCATGAAGCCAGGAGACCCCAGGCCGCCCCCAAAAGGGAGAGGTATCCAAGCTGACCACCTGGAGTCTAGAATGCCACCATCACCCTCTTGCTGGGCAGCCTGTCTCTGAGCCTCAGTCTCGTGATGTCTGCTTCTGCCCATGGGGCTCAGGCACCCCCCCATCCCTCAGACTGGTGCAGAGTCCTAGGGGTGGGGAAGGGGTGGTGCGAGTGGGAGAGGCACCCAGCCCCAGGTCTCACCGTCTTCGGTCTTTTCCAGGATGTTCAGGATGTCGGCCAGCTCCAGTGTCAGCTCATCCGGCTGCTGGGCCACATACGGGTGCACACACTGGACCTGGGGGCAGTCTGAAGGGAGGAGAGAGGGAGGTGGCACGTCCTCATCCCCGTCGCCCGTCCTGCTATGGACCCGGCAAACCGTGGACACCCCCGGGTTAGCAGGGCAGGCACGCCTACCAGAGCAGTGCAAATTCCCACGGCAATTGGAAAGGGTCTGTTCGAGGGAGAGGGGGGTGTGGCTGCAGGGAAAACGTGGTTTTCACGCGTGTCAAGGAGATTCTGTAGGGCTCCCCAGCGCCAGGGGCGCTGAAGAAAAAACGATCTATGCATAAAGGGACGAAGAGGCCGGGAGGGGGGCTTATTTCGGACGTCAGAGGGCACTTCTCGGACCCGGAATGTGGTGCTGGGAGCAGTTGTGGGAGGGCCAGGACTTGGAGAGCACAGCAAGCCCATCAGCCTCTCTGGGAGGCAGGTGGGCCGGCACCCTTTTATAGTTTATAAGGTTTTCAGACAGCTGGCAACCCCAAAAGAACACTGGTGTTTGCCTTCTGGGCCCAAATTCCTCTTGGTTTCCTTGTGGGACCTGTCACTTAAGACCAAGTGACTTATTTCATTATTAAGCATCCACGTGTTTGTGAAGCTCAGTTACACCGATGTCGTGCATCCGGGTTGGTTCAAAGCTCCTTGGGCGGGGGAAGCCATGTGGCCTCTGGGACGGCCAGCTCGTAGGCACTGCCCCGTCAGAGTGCAGA